CCCCAAAACCCCAAAACCCCAAAACCCCAAAACCCCAAAACCCCAAAACCCCTCACAAGTAATGATTCATTGAACAAAATTGATGGTATTTAATTTTATTTTACGATAACTTCAGAACAGGATTCCCATATATTCTACACTAGACGTTATTAGCCAGACTATAAACTATTAGAAATTTGAAAATGACCCCCTACTTCTAGATCTAAAAAGTCCTAGCTTTCATCTAGCTCTAAGAGTTCAAAATAATGATAGTTGTGATTACTCAACATTGTAAAATTTTACTACTAATGAAGGAAAATAATTTCAACAAAGATTGTTGCGGAATCTTGGATATAGTTATTATTCATGTTTCTCAAGATACTTTCTGTGGTTTTTATCTCCAAGCTTTGCAGCATAAGCAAGATCTCCTGGCTTCCATTTTGCTGGGCACACTTCTCCATTCTCATCAGCATACTGGAAGGCCTGAACTAATCTAATAAATTCGTCTGGGGATCTTCCAATCTGAGTATCATTGATGGAGATATGTCTTAAGATACCTTCCTTATCAATAATATAAGTGGCTCTGAAGGCGCTTCCTTCATATTCTCCGTGATCAATGAAGCATCCGTAAGCCTTGGAGATTTTGTGGGATCTATCTGAGATCAATGGCATTTCAACTTCTCCTAGTCCTCCCTTCTTCCTTGGTTTCATGTCAAATTCCATATGAGTAAACTTAGAATCAGTAGATACCCCAAGAACTTCGCATCCATGCTCTCTGAAAATCTTAGCAGCGTCAGAGAAGGCAATGATTTCTGTTGGACAAACAAAAGAGAAATCCATTGGCCAAAAGAACAAAAGAACATATTTTCCTCTAAAATCAGACAACTTGACTTGTTTAAACTCATAATCCTGGTAAGCGGTTGCTTCAAAATCTGGAGCTGGGTGCTTAACGGCAGCAGTTGGAGTATAAGAAAGTGGAGATCCTCCTTCCATATTTACAAAAAATTATTTATAGAGTGCTTCCATAATCTTTAAGCTTTGAGGGGTTTTGGGGTTTTGGGGTTTTGGGGTTTTGGGGTTTTGGGG